TACTGTGTCCAGTTCTGGGCGCTGCACTTCAAGAAGGATGTGGAGGGCCACTCGTATGGTTGAGGGCCTCCGTGGCCAGCCCTATGAGGAGAGGCTGAGGGACCTGAATTTCTTCAGTCTCTGCAAGAGGAGACTGAGGGGGGATCTTGTGGCTGCCTACAACGTTATCAGGAGCCACCACCAGGGACTTGGGGAAAGTCTGTTCACCAGGGCCCCCACTGGAGTCACCAGGAACAATGGCCACAAGCTGAGGGAGGATAGGTTTAGGTTAGATATTAGGAAGTACTGCTTCACCGTAAGGGTGGCCAGAGCCTGGAATAGGCTTCCCAGAGAGGTGGTGCTCTCACCTTCCCTGGAAATCTTCAAGAGGAGACTGGATAGGCACCTGGCTGGGGTCTTAGGACCCCTGCCACCCCCAGTGATCCTTCCTGCCCCTGGCAGGGGGTTGGACTAGATAATCTGTCTAGGTCCCTTCCGACTCATTGATTCTATGATTCTATGACTGACTTGCCAGCTTTATGGCGGATGGTGAAGGTGATCAGAGAATAGCAGGTTCAGACTGTCAGAGTATTCATTAACATGCCGATTTCAACATCCACGTTATAAAGAGTTGTTTCCCACTTTGCTGTTTCTGCTGAACTTCCCAAAGGTGGTATAATCAGAAGCCAGAGCATACAGCAATGCTCTGAGAATTTTAAAGTAACTGGCTTGATTCCAAATTGATGGTGCCCTAATTTTTACTTCCTTTATTTAAAAAAAGTGGTACTTTACAGCATTGAGCACTATCTTGAGAGCTGGGGAAACCTCTGTTCTGTTCCCAGCTCCATTGCAAATTTAAACAGTAAAAAAAGATAAATGAATCTACTGCATCAGTAAAATGGGATTTTAATAATGCCTAATCACTTCCCCCCCTAAAAGTTATTTGAAGTCTACAGAAGAAAAAAATTATATAAATGAAAGATATGAACCATGGACAGCATAGGATTACTGAACACATATGTACAGTGGTATAATATAAAACAACTATACCTGTTTTCTATAACCACAAATGTACATAGCTGTCATTTTGTATCATTCTTTTAGATGTTGTGATGACTGAACTTGTGACCCCCTAATGAAATCTACTTATACAAGGGAGAAGCAGTAAGGTGTCTGTGGGAATGATAATGCAAAATTTCCTAATTTCCATTTAGCTATCAACAAAATACTTCTCCGTTAGCAAAACTGTTGCATGTAGTGGGAATTTAAATTTGTCTCTGTTTTCTTGTGAATGCAATTTGAAAGCAAGCTTAATCTTACCCCGTGATAGTTCAGTTGACTAGATTAAACATTATTCTCTTTAATGACCTATCCATCTGTGTTAGTGTGTTTCTGCTCTTAAAAGTGGTACTAAAAATGCCATTTTAGGAGAGTATATAGTGATTGCTTCCAGATCAAGCACCTACCTCTCCATTTAAAATTAAATGTTTGCTAATCTCAGGACCTACAACGATTCCAGCTGGTTTGAGAGAATTAAGCTCTCTCTTCCCTCTCCCTCCCTCCCTCTCCCCATTTGTCAGCATTAATGATTCTGTAGGTCAAATTAATATACATCAATGCATACCATATTTTATACCTTCTGTTGTTTGTGTGTTCTATTTAGAACAGGAGGGAAGTCCTTTTTTTTTGTCTGTTACTGATCAAAAGTGGGTGGTACAAGTTTTTCATTTAGAAAAGCAATTTTAACTTCTCCACATGTTCTATCCAGAATTGCATGTTTTTTCTCTTTGAAATAATTGCCGTCAGCCTCATTCAGCATGAGACTGCATTCTTATTTGGCAAAAAAGCAAGTGGCTTCTTGTGAAATGAGTGCTTTGGTTGTTTTAAAAATGTGCCATCAGGAACTGGCTGGAGAAGCTAGTTTTTTGCTTTGTTCCTCTTCATTAGAGTCTGACTTCTTTACCCACCTCTCAGTTATCTAGCTTAATTTTTCTAGAGCACCTGTTGCCACAGCATCTCAGGAAAAACAGATATCTCCGTTAGTTACTGTAGAGCTGATTGTGATATTGTGCAAGGTTATGACTTCAACCAAGAAATAAGCTTCAGGAGGATAAAAACTCACGCCACAAAAGACCCTATTTTCAATGTCTTTTCCTAGTATTCATAATATGGGGTGGGGGGAGGAGAGTGCATGTTTCAGCAGAATTGTTTCTAGGGCATCAAGTGATTCTAAAAATGTCTTCATCTGACAAACTTTTGGTGCAGAAAACCTGTACAGAAACAAGGGAAATGCTGATCATTACTAGTTAGCAGCTAGAAATAAAGTGTCTGTAAACATGACTCATTTCAAACTGCTGAGGATAACTGCAACTGGATGACATCTTACTCAGTATATATATTATAAATTAATTAAAGCATGCTATGTGATATAAATCAAGGCATATACAATGCTAACAGGTAAAAATGGAACCATATGCACACTATTTTTGGGTTTAGATCATTGTATCGCCTGTTGTATTTAAAATGCATAGTTTACAAAATAGACTGCCTAGCCTTCAAGTATTGTGTACTGTATAATATCTTAAGAGTTTATACATTGAGGTTATTGGATCCAGTGTTGGAAGACAAACGAGAGTCTCCTCTGTTCATAATCTGTCCTGTGTAATTGTGTGTATGTTTTATAAATGTTGACCTAGAAAATATATATGATCTGAGAAATGTTAAATTAATCAGTATATCTGCTAAATAAAGTTGGTCACTTGCACTTCAAGTTTTTTCAACAGCCTAAGTCCTAAATGAGAGAGAAATAGATGACTATCAATATTCTAAAAAAACCCACTAGGCATTAGGTATAATAAAAAGCAGACCCCCAAAGTAGACATAAATATCATCCTGAGCTCTGTTATGCTTGCTTTAGGACTAGATGCAGATGGCACCTTTCCCAGGTCAGAGCTCAAAATACATGATACACTGACCCTGTTGGTAGCATACGGATTCTGAACTTTCTGATAACAACCACTGTTCCTACTTGCATGTCCTGGCTCAAAGAGCTTAAACCACATGCTAGATCTTAAAGCGAGCTCAAAGCCTGATATTTCGTATCTGATATTTTAAAGAAAGACTTGTTAGAAAAAGTTAGATTTAGATTCAGTCAGTCAACCCACTAGTATGAATGTCATCCCCAGACTCCAGTCTAAATGTTTTCATCTTGTTCAAAGTGTCACCTTGACATCAAGTTAAAAATAGTTGGTTTTTAGTGGAAATGGGAGCCAGTTTACAAGAAAGTAACTAGAACAAATTCTACTAGAGCAGAGGTTCCCAAACTTTTTCTTACTGGGTATCCCCTTCCAGATTTACCAGCTGCCTGCATATCCCTACCAGTATACATGATACGTTTTAACCCCTTAAGTGCCAATTATTATTATAATGAAAATTAAATCTGCCATTACACAGTTTCCCCTGCCTACCCCTCAGATGTCTTGCATACCCCCAGGGATACCTGTACCACAGTTTGGGAAGCCCTGTATTAGAGTGTTCTTTATTCGTCTCTAATTTACTGATGTTTCAGTATGTTGCAGTTTTGTTACAGCATTCCACATTTTGGTCCAGAATGCACGTTAGCTAAAATATTTACAGTTGTTTGCCTAAAATTAGCCACCTATGTAACTTATTTAGACAATTGAATGTGGCTGGAATAGCTGGTCTTAGTCCGCTGGGTTTTAAATTTTAGCTATTTTATTTTTTATATCTTAGATCATTTTTTCTTTTTAATCATAGACTCAAAAGCAACTGTATCCTAAATTAAATTTCCTCATTAATAATTTTTGTTACTAATGTTTCAAGAATCCTGTTCCTTTATATACAATTCTCTAACATTAAAAAAGAAAACCATTTTATTTTGTAGGTCAAGAAGTGGTGTTCAAGTGCCTTGGAGAAGGAATTCTTCAAAAGGCCTTTCAGGGATATAATGCTTGTATTTTTGCCTATGGACAGACAGGTGAGAGGTTCTCTGATTGTTGTGAGGGAAAGGGGAAGAAAGCTTTTTGGGGCAAAAATAGAACAATAGTGTTAAAACTAGAAACTCTCTAAACAAGGCTGTTTTATTTCAGTATTATTTTCTATTTGGTTTTAAGTGAATTCAGTGGTTGATTGATGGCTCCGGAGATTGAAATAGTCTTTCTTTAAACACACAATGGTTTCAGCCAGGGGAGTCGTGGTGTAGCATTCCCTCCACAACTCTGTCAGTGTGTTTTTTAGTTTCTACCTGCTGGGACCACCCTCCAGGATAGAAAGCGCAGTTCGTACTCCAACTTATTCAGCCTTTTGTGTGTCTGCCAAGACTGTCACAAGAGGTGCCCAATTAATGGCCACTGTGTTGAGGGGCTTATGAAAGATTTCTCTGTTGGCGTACCTGCATGTCTCAGTGTATAGTCAGAGGAACAGACTGACTGTTTGGAATTCTCTCAGTTATGTTTTTCTTTTATGTGCTGTTGGAAGAACAAAAGGAGAGAAGAATGTGTGTCGCAGGAACAAATTAGTGACTCTTTCAGACATTTCAGGATGCTGTAAACATTCTGTTACTTTTCCTCTTCCCTCTAGGTTCAGGAAAATCCTTCTCAATGATGGGCAATGCAGAGCAGCTGGGCCTGATCCCACGGCTCTGCTGTGCTTTATTTCAGAGAATCTCTAGAGAAGAAAATGAGTCTCATACCTTTAAAGTTGAAGTATCCTATATGGAAATCTATAATGAGAAGGTCAGAGATCTGTTAGACCCCAAAGGGTAAGTCATTTTTCCATTTTAGTTGAAACTGAAGCATAGAAATAATCAGTTGGAGGGCTGAGGGAAGCTACTTCAGTTTGTTTAATTATATGTGTTGTTTAGAAAAAAGCATAAATCCAAAATGTTAGAAAGTAAGTCCTTGTAGTACTAGGTGTGTAAAACCTGAAGTTTTGGTTGCATACTGACTTTTTATTTGATTATGGCTTAAAATAGCACTTTTCTTAACCAGTCACTTTGTCCACAGTGGAAAATATACTCACCTTTTTTGGATAACTGGGGCAGCTATTTAATAGCTGACAATCTAGACATCATATTGTTCTACTCCCTGCTCCAAGGCAGCCTCATTGTCCATACCAGCCTAGGCAAATATTTATCCAACCTCCACATAAAAATTATGGAGATTAAAAATGATTCCTTCACTCCATGAAGGATTGAACCAGCATGAGGAAACCACCCTGTATTTCAAGCCCCACATCTTATCACCTGGACCCTCACAGTATATAATATTATATAGGATTAAGCCTAAAACTTGTTAAGTGACTTGACCTCCCTTCCCCTTCAGAAAACTACTTCCTAAAAATAGGTATAAACCTATACAAGCCTTTATTCCCTTTGTATATAGCCAGTTGCCTTCTATGGCTGAACTTTAGTGATGACCCTTGCATCTTTCTCCCTTTCTGCTTTTCTGTATTTAATAAGATGAGTGACTGTATGAACAAATATCTAAGAATAAAAACAGAGATGTTCTTTAGAGCCTGTTACACATTATATACAGAATTAGGTATGAACAGGGAGTGAAATGTTGGGAAGTGTTCTTTTGTATGGGTACTTGGAAGCCTAAACCATCTGTTTCTGCAGAATGTAACCTTTTGTTAAAAATGTCACTCTAATAGTTACAAAAATACCTGTATGAATAAAAAATAATGCTATGCTGATTTCTGGGGTATGCAGACAATTGCCAGCATCTATACTAATTCATGTTTGTAGCTTTCCCGTGCAGGATTGAAATGAAGGAAAGTCAGTTTCACCACTGTCATTCAGAACTCTGTGCAGTAGTGACTCTGTTCAGAAATCATGACATTTTCATGCCCCTGCTGGTTGGAAAAGCTATTCAGCGGGATTCACAGTGTAGAGAACTGGAATACAAAAAGGAAGAGGGGAAATGCAGTCACCTCCTTCAGTAATATAATAGCCATGGCTGAACTGACACACAAGTTTCAGTCTTGGATCCAAGCTTTTAGAGCCTAAACTTACAGTGCTTGAGTAAATTGTGCTGAGGTTGAGATTTTCAGCAGGTTTTTCCTGATAGTCATCTGCATACATTATATTCTGTATCTTCCCTAATAAATGGCTTAGCTCTTTGGCTATGAGAGCTCTGTTACATTTTTCAGCCTCTGACCATGAACATACACCTGATATGTATGGTTTATGTGGAAAATGCTTTGCCTATTACTTGAATCATTAACACAGGATTTAACAGGTGGCTCTCTGTTGTATAGCTGCTGCATTGGCATTTCAAACAATCTTTCATTTTAACCAGAAAAGCTCATAACTGTATTGCTGTTAGAAGCTTTTGAATAACTTGCTGTTTTGTTCCAAAGGAGCCGGCAGTCCCTTAAGGTTCGAGAGCACAAAGTCTTGGGACCATATGTAGATGGCTTGTCTCAGCTGGCTGTTACTAGCTTTGAGGTAAGTGTAGTTGAATAATAAATAAAAAGCATCTCTCTAAGTAGGGCAAAGAGAAATTATTCATTAGTGTCTAATCAGATGTTTTGGTTCCTAAAAGGACCCCTTTTTTGGTTCTCTGATATCCCATTATTCACTGTCACAAAGTTGACCACGACATTTGAAGACAAAGAAATACTTATTTCACTTAACTTTTCTACCCAGCCTTTTTTTTTTTTAACTGACATTAGTGAAAAATGGCCTACGATATAGCATCAGGGTGTTTCTGTTTTGAGAATTTACAGTGTTTAAATCCAACAGTGTTTAAGTCCAAAATGTTTCTGACTACAGAAAGTGTCCAGGCTCTCAAAATACAGAATATTAAGGTTTCTAATATAAATTCCTATAATTGTTTTCTGTGCATTGGATACAACTTTCTTATATCACATATCCTGCCTGCATAGGGGGCTGAGTCAAGTGAAAATGTTTTCTTTCTAGTTTTATAGAAAAATCAATAAAGTATTAAAAAAGGCTTTAATAAAAACTGCACAGAGCTGTTTTTTATTTTAAAAGAAAAAACCTGAATAAATAATGTGTTTAAGTATTTTGAAACATGTTGGGGACAATATTATTCTATGTACATCCTATTAAGGGAGGTGGGGGAAGAATCCTTTTCTCATAGAATCATAGAGAAGTAAGGCTGGAAGGGTCCTTCAAAGGTCATCTAATCCACCCACCTGCCTGAGGCAGGTTCATCCCTATCCAAACTGTCCTATGCAAATCCATAATCTAAATTCTTTGTAAAACTACTGACAACCATAACACAACACAACACCTTGACTTGTCACAGGTAAATCAGGAGAACCATGGTAGCCAGTGGCCTGCTTCTATGAAATGTTGTTAATATATGATCAAGAGATCTGGGGTAGCAGGCCATGCCCCCCACTACAGAGGAAGGCAAAACCCCCTTTAGTCCATACCAGTCTGACCATGGAGTAAAATTCCTTCCTGACCCCATGTATGGCATTTGGTCTAATCCTGAGGAGAGGGGCAAGACCCTTTAGTTAGGAGCCTCTGGCTTTAAGTCCCAGCAGGAGCATTGGCACACCCAGTCAAGATTCCCAGTCTTGGCTGCAGCCAATACCCAGTGCCCCCAGAGCTTTTTCATAGGCTTTCTGTTCTTCTGAGGCAGATGTGCACAGTTCAAGGTGTGAAAACTTACCTCACTTTCACTTAAACACCAGTAGTATGTGTGTAACATGAAAAACAAAATAAATTAAAATTCAATGACCGCTGTTGCCTAATTCTAGCTATGAATTACCTAAGCTATGTGAAAACAACATTTGTTCAATCCTCTCCCATCACCTAGGTCTTTAAAATCATTGCTAATATTTAATTTCACATCAGCATCACCATTGTCATACACATGATTCAGAAGTATAAGCAAGCATGTGTATCAGACTCAGCATAGTTGCCTTTAGGCTTTGTATGTGTAGAAAGCTAGTCTCCAAGTAAGGTAACTCTTTTAGCCAATTAAATGAAGTGTTAGTGCAGCTTGCTAAAGAGATGCATTGCATTTATCTGTCGAAATGGATGCGTTGGCCTGATTCCTTTCATTAAACAAATATGACTTGTAACATGGATGGTATCAGTATATTCTTGGTTGCAGATCAGTAGACTGTATTGGAATTAGGGAAAATTCAGAAATGGAATTATTTTCAGTCCATCAAATTATTCAGTCTTACAGCTCGGAATAAGAGGTTATTTTTCCCCTTCATCTGAATGATAATCAGGGATCTGGGTTTTCCATTTCCCATGGAAAAATGGAGAAAACCACAGATCTTACCCTTTAGCGGAGGCAAAGGCAGATTTTTCATTTTACTGGAGAAACCCATGGATGTTGTAGTTTTGCAGTGAGTTCTCTGCAGGCTGACAGAGTTCCAGCCTGCAAGGGACTGGGAGGGAGCAGGAGGAGGGCAGTCAGGCAGGGGACGCCGTGGTGCATATATGGCTGCCAGGCAGGCTGCAGAGCAACTCCTGGTGGGGAGAGGCGAGTGAGGGGAACCTGTGGGGGGGCTTTCATTTTAATCACTGAGGTTTTTATCAGAGAATTTGCAATTTTTTTTCAGAGCATTTGTAATTTTTTTTTTTTATCAGGGAAAACCAGGATCCTTGATGATAATTTTGTTTAGCAGGGAAAAGGTTTCATTCAGTTTTATCCTAACATCACTTCTATAATACGTTTGGTTCCAGGATATTGAGTCCCTGATGTCAGAAGGAAACAAATCTCGAACAGTTGCTGCAACCAACATGAATGAGGAAAGCAGCCGTTCTCATGCTGTATTCAATATTATAGTAACTCAGACACTTTATGATCTGCAGTCTGGTGTAAGTATTTCATAGTTTCATAGTTTCTAGGGTCGGAAGGGACCTGAGCAGATCATCTAGTCCGACCCCCTGCCATGGCAGGAAGAGCACTGGGGTCAAATGACCCCAATAAGGTGGTCATCCAACCTCCTCTTATTTGCATTAATCTGTTTCTCAAGTGAAATGAATTTCTATCATTCTCTTATTTTGGCTGCTGAGCGCTTAGCACTGCCCAAAATGTAAACCCTAAGTTAAAGGAAACTCAGATAATTCAGTTGAATTCCACTATTAAGGTGCAGACTTCTATATGTGTATAAGTGGAATTGTCTAATCCAGGGGTGCTCCATCTGCAGCTCTGTGTCATCTAGGCATAGTGGTAGCACCACTCCTCCACTACCACATTTTTAAACCCCTGGAGAGCCCTGAGTAAGTATTTAAAAGAAAATTCCCTTTTTCATATTCTTATTCATATGTCATTTTTATCCATAACTCTCTGAACAGCAGGACCTAATTGTGTAAACGTATCAGGTTCTTCAGTATTTTATGTTCCTTTTTCTTGGTTACTTCTCTCTCACATTTTTTCTTGTCTAGAATTCTGGAGAGAAGGTCAGCAAAGTCAGTCTGGTGGATTTGGCTGGGAGTGAAAGAGTGTCCAAAACAGGAGCTGCGGGAGAACGTCTGAAGGAAGGCAGCAACATAAATAAGTAAGGGCATTTGCAAACACAAGAAATAAACTTTAATCTACCAAGAAAACCTAGAATTTCTCTGGTCTCTTGCCTAGTTGTCCCGTCACAAGTCACTTCAAAGGATTTTTTTAGTTGAGCAGTTGTTTAAATGTGTCTTTGTCCAATAACTATATGCCAGACACACCACCTGTCTTCCTATATTAATATAGGGACCCTGATTCATGTATGACACAGGTGAAGGCTTTCTGAATTCTGTTTGGAAAAAGTTACAGTAGCACCCTTTTGCCAGGCCTATCTCCTCATATGCCAAAAGAAGAATGTAAACCATAAGGATTGCAGAGTCAGGTGAATGTTGAATTGACTTTGCTCCAGTGTACGCTAAAATATATAAGAGTGTAATTTGCCATTTAAGAAAAACAGGCCAGAATGAAGGTAAGTAAGTTTAAAGTTGCCTAAAGGCATCCATGGCTCAAGCAGTGACAAGTTACAGGGAAATGTGCTTCCATAATTACATTGTTTTTCCCCAGAAGGAAGTATTTAGCATGGTATCATCATGGTAAACATGCTGATTTCCTTGGGAAAAAGTGAAACACAATGCAGACAGTGTTAAAGTTCTTTTATAAAACATTTCAATACTTGTAAGTGGAGAAAAATGAGAGTTAAGCAGGAGTCATGCTTGCAGATTTAAAAAAATAGCGAATCTGTTTTAAAAGCTGGAGATTTTTAGAAGTTTTAATGTACATACCAGTCTACTTCACATGAGTGTCATACCAAAAAGTTCAGATGCTTTCACAAAAGGTTAAGGATATGTAACGTGGGACTGGATAGCTTTGGGTTATTAATGGAGTCCAAGAAGCCTTTTCCTACCCATTGCTGGTTCATACCAGCTTAGTTTTGTTGCCCTGTGGGGTCAGGCCAATGCTCAGGATCTCAATATCACGCTGGTAAACAGGAGGGCGTGGTGTACAATTGCGCACATATGTGTGTGTGCGCACACGCCCGCCCCCTGTTAGGCATGCACACACACTCGAGGTGTATACACCCCCACCAGGCATGCGCGCGCACACTGTCAACTCAGGCACATGCACATCCAAAATTATCAGCCTAGGCACATGTGCACCTATCACCAATTCAAGCACCTACACACTGTACACACCAAAAGTTAGACGAAAATCAATTGTGAATACCCGCACACCCAATACACATACATGGGTCGCAAATTTGTATATCACACACACAATGACACATATATATTCACCAGTTCACACACAAACCACCCACCTACACATACACACAGGTGAGTTCCTAACTTGGATGGTACAGTATGTATGTGTGTGTTTGAGGGTACTTGGGATACCTGGGAGAAGGCTAAGGTGAGAGAGGAAGCGTAAGGAGTGAAAGTTGCTGGGACCCGGATTAGAACTGGTAGACTAAAGAGAAGCTGGGCTGAGGAACTCAGGCTTGGGGTTACTTAAGGTCAAGTGGCCCCAGGGTTACTTGAGGTCACTGGTGCAAGGGAAAAGCCCGGTGGCAAGGAGGAGGCAGCCAGGAAAGAGAGAGAGGCAGAAACTTGGGAGCTTGGGGCTGGAAACTGAGGCAGACAGCTGGGATATCAGGGGGCAGATAAGTGGTGGCAAGGAGGAAACAGTTAGGAAACGGACAAAAACCCAACTCAGGGTTTCAAAATATCAGGTTTATTAAACAAACAACATACTACACAGCCCCATGAAGTTATTGGTTCTCTCTCTCTCTTTCTCTCTCTCAATGGCAGCAGGAGAAAGAGAATCAGTGGAAGAGTTGGAGTCCAGGTGGGGAAGAGAAACAGAATCCAAGTCCTTGGATGAAGAGAGGGTGGGGGTGAAAGCTACCTATCCAGGCTGAAAAGGGGTCTTTGTCCAGAGTGGGGTTTCCAGCAGGGCCTCTGGATGGATAGGTGGTGTGGCATGGTGCTGGTCCAGGTGGAAAGGGCATCCCAAGGAGTCAGTCTTCACTACCCATTTTTATGTGGCAGATTACGTCTGATCTCCTATGGGGAGGGCCTGTCCAGTCAAGGTCAGTCCTGTTCTAGAGGGCTCCAGGTGTTCTTACTCAGCATGTGCAGCCTTGGCACAGTGGTGGGTTGCCTCATCTTTTCTTTCTTGAATGCTGAGCCATTCTTTCTTTGAATGGCTGGGTCATTGGTCCAGGTATTGGTTTTGATGGTTCGGTCATTCAGAGGGAGCTATTTTTAGACCTACTGTCATTGTTTCTCAAGCACCCGCATTTATCCCCATTCATTTAGGAACCAAGTTACATAGGAGGGGGAGGTACAAGTCATATGTTATACAATGGGACATGGGAAGCAAGATGGAGACTTGACAAACAAAATGGAAACTTGACATGACTTAAGCTAACTTACATATATATGTAGGCCTAAATCATATAGTATCAGTAAAACAGTAATATGGAACAGGAAAAATGAATATGATGATAAAAACCAATAATTATACAATATAAAGAAGGAGAAAAAAACAAAACGAACACAACTTGCTACCAAAATAAAATGCTGAAGCTTATCCTATGTCTTAGCTTACTTATACTTATCTATAGGGAATAGAGAGGGAGAGAAAAAGTCAGAAATGGTTGGAGAAGGGGAGGGTAATGCATTTTAAAATAAAATAAGAAAAACGAGGGATTTTGCTACAGTTTGATGGTAACCAGGAACTAAAACTGTCTCATGATAGGTCAGAGGTCTCTGTGAAACTAGTTGGTTATTTGTCTGGTTCCTACAGGAAAAAACACCCCTACTATTGCTGTCCACGCTGGCAGTGTTGGCATAGCTACCAATAACTGTAGAGGCACTGAAGGACATTTCTGCCTGTAACCTGGACCTTAGGCCAAGTATTAAGTCCTTTAGGAAGGTGGTAATATTAGGAAGCAGAATGCTGTGCCCCGCTATAATTTTTTTTAATATGGAGAGAAGGCCCTTATTCATAATCCTCAAGTTTTTCACAAGCCATGAAAATTACCTTAAAACATTTCTAAAAGGAGAAGAAATAAGAATCCTTTTACATTTGCTCCAACTTGAATTCCCAGCATGATGCTGTGATATCCATCACTCTGCCTTCATTCCTTGGAGAATTAATGAATTCTGTAATTTATGAGAAGCCAGAGAACTGATATTCGTTTTCCAACTGACGAGAACAGAACATTTTTTGGCTTTAGGTAGGAGACGGACCATGTTTCCCCTCCTTATTTGGAAACTGCACGACACCTAATAATGGTTTGTTTCTAGCAGCTATGGTACTAGAGTAGCTTTTCACACTACTTAACTTTTTAAAGCATAAATTATATGTAATACACACATGCAAACTGTGACTTACACTATGTATGAATTACATATAGTAAGTTCTTTGGGAGAGAAACAGGGGTTGATAGCTCCAACACAGTACAAAAGATTTTAGCTATGCATCTTCTTCCAATTGACATTTTTTATTTCGATTTGTAAAGTGTTCAATTTCAGGTGCTCGCATGAGGTAAAAAATGCGTTGCCTGCCATACCACATTGCTTTGAAAGAGAATATAAAAATAAAGGAAGTAAAAGTACTTTGGCCCAGTATTTACAGCACTGGGCAAACACAGCAGTACAACCAGGTAGACTGAAAATCTGACTTTTTGGACATCCAGAAAGAATCCAGCTGGTCCCCTCAGTTTTTCTTGGCAGTTGTTTCTAGATAAAACTGAGCATTGTTAGTATAGTAGAGTGGCTGTTTTTTTCTTTTCATATTCTTCCCTTCTTTATCCTTTAGCTTCACCCTACCTGAAGTGCTCTGTAGTTTTGGGGTGCATTGGAAGACTGCAGTAGTTGGGTTTTTTATTTCTTGTAATAAGTGACAGCTGTGCAACTCTTACTAGCAGTGTGTTGGATATTTAAAATTGTACATACTGTTCCTTACAGGGCAGATGTATACACTGCCTTCTCTTGTGGAGACATGATATTTTTCCTCCTTAATCTTGTTTACCTCAGTGTATTTAAGAGGGTGATGAGTGTCTGCTGCATAGCATGCTGCATGGGTTTCAAGGAGCTGCTCGTAATTACATTTCTAAATCCATATTGAAATCTTCTGAAGAACTGAATGTGCCTGCTGCCCTTCCACCAGTGTGCTAGCTCCAGTGTTGCAGTCAGAGCTACCAGTACCCCTCAGTCCTTTGTAGCATAATTCATTCGTTTCAGAAAATACACAGATGGAGGATGATAGACTTGAGAGGGTCCAGAGGATGGCCATTCATATGGTTAGGGGCTTACAAGACAAGCCGTATGAAGAGAGACTGAGGGACCTGGACCTCTTCGGCCTCCACAAGAGAAGGCTGAGAGGTGATCTTGTGGCTGCCTACAAATTCATTAGGAGCATACAGCAAGGGATCAGAGATGCTCTATTCACCAGGGTGCCTCTTGGGGTAACAAGGAACAATGGTCACAAACTGGCAGAGAACAGATTTAGGCTACATATCAGGAAAAACTTCCTCAAGGTAAGGGTCGCCAAAATTTGGAATGGGCTTCCAAGGGAGGTGGTGCTCTCCCCTACTTTGGGGGTCTTTAAGAGAAGGCTGAATAGGCATCTGGCTAGGGTCGTCTGACCCCAGCACTCTTTCCTGCCTAGGCAGGGGGTCAGCCTCAATGATCTGTTGTGGTCCCTTACGACCCTAGCATCTGTGAATCTATGAAAAGCCAGAGATTAAATCAGCTACTGGTTAGTGGCTCATCAGAATTAAACTTTCCTGAAATAATTTGTAATTTTCTGACATCATAATTATCACTGCTAGGCAAATCCTTGAAAACAAAAAAGATTGGGCTGCAAAACCGATTTGAAGAAAGGGTTTTATAGTGCAACGGTAGTAGCTGCTATAGAGGGTTGTATTTACTGGGTAAAGGGCATGAAATCTGTAGAGACAGGCTGAATTTGGGCAGCGTTCTTCTTTGATAAGCAAGTACCATTTCTACTCCTGCTGTACAGTTGTACATAAGGCAAGGTGTTGCA